TACAACTCCCCTCATAGACCAAGAGGCACGCACTGCGTTGGCGCGTTTTCGTTCATGTGCGCACGATCAGGTAGTCGCTCTTCTTCATCAACGTGCAGGGGATGCAGCGCACTTGGTCGTGCACTTCTCCGGCGTCCACGTCAGCATGCACAGGCTGGGCCCAGGGATACCTGGCGGCCCAGGCAATCTGCCATCTGTGGGGATTTTCCTTCTGCTTGTCCCGCCATGCACCGTCGCTCATGCCCTTGCAGATGCGCTGTGTCTGAGCCCGCTTGGCACTGCGAGCACTCGGGTTGGGCGCCTCGCCGCATTCGTTGTTGTCAAGCTGATTGGGTGACAGCTTGCGCTTATGCTGATCACAACCGCCATGGAAGGCAGGGGTAATGGCGCCCGTGTCATCGGTCGCCGCTGGCAGCAACATTGCCGATGCATTACCGACAACAGCACCGCCGTCCCAAACGCCTTTATCAGGAAAAAATTTAAACTTATCTTGCTGTTTTTGTGTTTGTTCGGCGTTCAAGTCGTTGCCTTTTGCGTGTTTGTCTATGGAAGGACCGGTCATACATTCTGCTATGCCGCGTTGACTCACGGGCTTGACCTTCTTACGGCCCCTCATATCTATTTTATGATCGATAATACTAAGTTCTGCACACTACGGAGCAATCTGGCAGCAATGGACGTTTTTGGCTGAAGGAATGAAAATGTACGGATCGGCCTCACTTTGTTCCTTATTTCCAAAGGCCAAAAAGGCTTCTTTATTCCTTAAAAGTAATATATTACTTAAAAAAAAACACTGGATATTCGTATGCTCACCGGGTGGCGGGGTAGGGGGGGGGGGGGACGGGGTGCCTTGTTTGGGCGTGGAGGGGGTGGAGACTGGCGCAGTGGTGGCGGGCTTGATGAGCGCGGTGATGGCGGGCGCGGTGATGGCGGCCGAGGCGATGGCGGGCGAGGTGATGGCGGGCGAGGTGATGGCTTTGGAGGTTTTGGTGGTCGAGGGGCGCCTTCCACAGCATTCAAACCTATACCCGGGTATAATGGAAAGGATGCTCAGATGATCCTGGATAGCCAGAAGCATCCTAACAAGGTGCGAGCTAACGAACCTACAAGGTTGTTTTACAAGATCATTTCTCTCTCGCTCCCACGCACGCATAGCAAAGGTGGTCAAGAGTAGGTCGGTCAGAGTCAGCAGCAAGAACATTACCAACCAGCAGCACATTAAGAGGATTGGCAACGATTAATACTGCTGCTGGCAACGATGGCCAATGACCAGGAGTGTCTGCGTTGCTTTGTAGGGCGCTGGAGTACATTGAAATCGAAATTTCTGAGATAGAGATTAGGGACCCTTACCGGTGACAGCAAGTAGGACAGCTGCCAGCGTCAGCACTAGCAGTGCTGACCGGCCGGAAGTAACCTGCGCTCCAAGACTCCTATTCCTGCTGCTGGGCACCGCTGCCATTGTTTGAGAGGCGCAAGCATACAGGGCGCACATGCCCACCTGCAAGACCAGAGGCATCAACCCTAAGGTTCGAAATAAACTGCAAGAATGCATTAGTTGTGCACCCTAGTGTCGAGGCTTGGTTGGAGATGGGGTGTAGGGCCTCCAATCCGATTCCAACATTTATCCGTTAAAATAGCGACTAATATGCAACTTTCACCTTTTTCGATGGCTCGCCGTGTGGCCCATACCCTTTTCATCAAAGAGGCGACGGGTTCTTCTGAGATATTGGATGAAGCTATTCTTCTTTTGCAACGGACATTCCATCGTTTATGGTTTCATTTACGGTGGGAAAATGAACAAAAAGAGGTTTGGTGGCGTCTCGCGGTTGATGGGGTGCCTATGTTAGGAAATTCCCATCTTAGGATGTCGAGCCCAACGATATGTGGTTGTGGAGGTTATCCAATAGGTTCAGTGGGAGGTGTATCCCCTCGCTATCATCATTTCTGGGCCTGTCCGGTGGCACAGGCAGTAGCAGATCAACTTACTCTCTCAATAGGAGTGCCAGTCTCAAGGGAGCAACTTTGGCTTATCCAAGCCCCACAATCAGTGCAACAATGTGTTTGGGATGTTGTGGCTCTTGCTGCGGTGTCAGCCATGGAGCATGGGAGACGTTATATGGCTGCAAACATGAAAACCAACCCGGCACTGTTACCTGGCCCTTCCCTTACGGAAGAAGCAATTTGTCGAGTTATTGTTGACTTTTGGGGCCGCATTCAGGGTTTCGCAGCTTTGGGAATTCCACGGAAAGGTTGGGATTCCGTTGGCGCACATCACCCCTTCTTGAGAATTATATCTGGCAAATTGCTGTGCTCGCGAGAGCGGTTACCGATGAGAGGTTAATTATCTGAGGTGATAATCTTTTGGTATATTAGTCTCTACTGCAGTGCACGGCCACCTGGCCCGATGGCTCTACTCTTCGGGAGTCTGGAGCCCACTGTAACAACCACACAGTTGTGCAAATACAAGTTTAATCTTACCCGTCATGCCCGTGTCTTCTTCTTTAGTGTCAAAGTAAGCTTATTAATTCCTTAAATGATTTATGCTGCACTAACCGTACACCGGTGCGTACCACGATAGGAGGCTATTGCTGTGTTTTCTTCTTTCCTTCGGGCTCTGAGGACGAGCTTCAAAAGTACAATAAAAGATAAATCCGTTGGTAGTTTTCAGGAAATGTAATAATTGCGCTATTGAACGCTTGGGAGGGGCGAGCGCCCGCCAGGAGTTCTCAGGCAGCGACAGTGAAAGGGCATAGGCTCCGTTTCTCGTTGGGATGCCACGATGATTACAAAGAGGGCCGAGCGACTTAAGCCAGCTAACAACCTACAAGATGTAACAATGATGACATAACAAACTAAACAACAACAACGACTTAAATAGTCAACCAGAGCCTAGGCGGCGCCGAAAGGTCGTACATTATCCATATCTCAAATGATCGTCCACGAGTAAAGTTAACGACTTAACGACTAACAAGAAAACCTAACATGCCCCCCTGCTTAGCTCAAGCATCGGCCTCGATGCGACCAAAGTACAAACTATGCTAAGTCGTGCGCCGCTCCGATTCCCTGAACGAAATCGGTACCAGGCTAACGAGGGGAAGGCAAAAGGGAACCGGAGTCAAGGCAAAACCTTCCCCGCACTGGATACCGGCCTAAATAAGGTGCACGACACCTATATCTACCGGTCTAAGGAACCGGTCTACGACCAAACGAACGTGTCCAGAAACATCCACAAAGAGTACGCAAATCATAAGCCTAAGGCACAGAAAAGCAAACTCGGTGGATGGCAAAATAACGCAAGAAAACACGAAAGTACACAACATGCAACACGCAATACCCCGAAAAAAACCGAAGTCAAGACACGACACGCGCAAAACTGAGGCGAAATAACCCAAAACTGAAAACACACAGGACACGAGTCACACACAACACCATCCTATGCGGAGCGCTAGGTTGTCATGAAGTGCACTATCCTCGGGGCGCGTTCCGGAAACTTCGCTCTGAACCAGGCATAGCGGTCTGACAGCTTAAACGCGGTCCAGGCTGGGGTCGCCAGGAAGGCACGAAGTGCTGGAAGGCTGCGTACATCATCGTACGGTTCCCAGGACGCGTCACGGCCACTGGCGGTAGACCACTGAACTAGGAACATGACGGACGGCCGACCACGACGGTTATAACCTAGGCGAACTGCAGTAACGATAGTGTCGGCGTGGTCGTACGGTGACTCCAGTGTGATGGGCACGGCGGGCGGAGCTGGAGGACGGTTGGGGAAGAGCGTAGGATCGTTGTCCGTCCACGGAAGCAGGCGGGAGACGTGAAAAACGGGATGGATGCGGCCGAGGGTAGGTGGAAGTTGGAGGCGGTAAGCGACGGGGGAAATGACTGCACTAATGGTAAAAGGGCCGATGTAGCGAGGTCGGAGTTTTGCGGAGGGGTAGTCGGGTAAGGTGAGGTTAGTGGTGGAGAGGCGAACACGGTCGCCAACTTGGAAGGTGAGGTTGCGGCGGTGTTGGTTGGCGGCGGCAGCATATCGAACTTTAGCTGCTTCGAGTTCGGCGGTGATGGTAGAATGAATGTCACGGATGTGGGCATGGAGATCAGCGGCGGCGGTGTGTGCGGGTTTGGAAGGGGGGGTGTTAATCGTGGCGGGGGTGGTGGGATGGAAACCGTAGTTGGCGTAAAATGGGGTGGTGCCGGTGCTGGCTTGACGAATGCATTTCTGCATGCGGGCGGCGGAGACGAATTCGATGGCGAACATGGGTGGCTGGGGGGTTGAGCCCGAAAGGAGTGTATTGCCTATCGTGACGGTGTTGGACTGCCAATCGATGTTGGGGTTGTGCTGGGTTAACCAAGGCTTACCAAGGATAGCATCGTACCCGTCAAGGTCCAAGGCGTAGAAGGTGGTAAGCTCATGGTGGGATTGGATGGAGAGGTGGACGTTGGCAAGGGCGGCGGAAGAGAGAGCGAGATGTCCGTTGGCGAGGCGGACTCGGAAGGCTTGAGACGGTGGAAGATTGGCGGGACGGAGGTGGGAGCGGTTGATGAAATCGTTGGCTATGAAGTTGTGTGAGGCGCCGGAGTCAAGAAGGATTCGAGCAGGGCATCCAGCGATGTGGGCGTCGAAGACGATGAGTGTGGAGGAGAGATCGGCGGCTGTCAGG